AAAAAAAAAAAAAAAAAAAAAAAAATGACACAGTATTTACATATAACCTACACACATCCTTCCATATATTTTTTAAAACATCTTTATTGGAGTCTAATTGCTTCACAATGGCATGTTAAGTTTCTGCTTTATAACAAAGTGAATCAGCTACACATATACATATACCCCCATATCTCCTCCCTCTTGTGTCTCCCTCCCACCCTCCATATCCCACCCCTCTAGGTGGTCACAAAGCACCGAGCTGATCTCCCTGTGCTATGTGGTTGCTTCCCACTAGCTATCTATTTTACACTTGGTAGTGTATATAAGTCCATGCCACTCTCTCACTTCGTCCCAGCTTACCCTTCCCCCTCCCCGTGTCCTCAAGTCCATTCTCTATGTCTGCGTCTTTATTCCCGTCCTGCCCCTAGGTTCTTCAGAACCTTTTTTTTTTTAGATTCCATATATATGTGTTAGCATACGGTATTTATTTTTCTCTTTCTGACTTACTTCACTCTGTATGACAGATTCTAGGTCCATCCACCTCACTACAAATAATTCAACTTTGTTCCTTTTTATGGCTGAGTAATATTCCATTGTATATATGTGCCACATCTTCTTTATCCATTCATTTGTCAATGTACATTTAGGTTGCTTCCATGTCCTGGCTACTGTAAACAGAGCTGCAATGAACATTGTGGTACATGACTCTTTTTGAATTATGCGTATATGCCCATAATTCAGGGTATATGCCCAGTAGTGGCACTGCTGGGTCGTGATAGTTCTATCTTTAGTTTTTTAAGGAATCTCCATACTGTTCTCCATAGTGGCTGTATCCATTTACATTCACACCAACAGTGCTAGAGGGTTCCCTTTTCTCCACACCCTCTCCAGCATTTATTGTTCATAGATTTTTTGATGATGGCCATTCTGACTGGTGTGAGGTGATACCTCATTGTAATTTTGATTTGCATTTCTCTAATGATGAGTGATGTTGAGCAACCTTTCATGTGTTTGTTGGCAATCTGTATATCTTCTTTGGAGAAATGTCTATTTAGGTCTTCTGCCCACTTTTGGATTGGGTTGTTTGTTTTTTTGATATTGAGCTGCTTGTAAATTTTGGAGATTAAGCCTTTGTCAGTTGCTTCATTTGCAAATATATTCTCCCATTCTGAGGGTTGTCTTTTCGTCTTGTTTATGGTTTTCTTTGCTGTGCAAAAGCTTTGAAGTTTCATTAGGTCCCATTTGTTTATTCTTGTTTTTATTTCCATTTCTCTAGGAGGTGGGTCAAAAAGGATCTTGCTGTGATGTATGCCATAGAGTGTTCTGCCTATGTTTTCCTCTAAGAGTTTAATAGTGTCTGGTCTTACATTTAGGTCTTTAATCCATTTTGAGTTTATTTTTGTGTATGGTGTTAGGGAGCATTCTAATTTCATTCTTTCACATGTAGCTGTCCAGTTTCCCAAGCACCACTTACTGAAGAGGCTATCTTTTCTCCATTGTATATTCTTGCATCCTTTATCAAAGGTAAGGTGACCATATGTGTGTGGGTTTATCTCTGGGCTTTCTATCCTGTCCCATTGATCTATATTTCTGTTTTTGTGCCAGTACCATACTGTCTTGGTTACTGTAGCTTTGTAGTATAGTCTGAAGTCTGGGAGCCTGATTCCTCCAGCTCCGTTTTTCTTTCTCAAGATTGCTTTGGTTATTCGGGGTCTTTTGTGTTTCCATACAAATTGTGAAATTTCTTGTTCTAGTTCTGTGAAAAATACCATTGATAGTTTGATAGGGATTGCATGGAATCTGTAGATTGCTTTGGGTAGTATAGTCATTTTCTCAATGTTGATTCTTCCAATCCAAGAACATGGTATATCTCTCCATCTATTTGTATCAACTTTAATTTCTTTCATCAGTGTCTTATAGTTTTATGCATACAGGTCTTTTGTCTCCTTAGGTAGGTTTATTCCTAGATATTTTATTCTTTTTGTTGCAATGATAAATGGGAGTGTTTCCTTAATTTCGCTTTCAGATTTCTCACCATTAGTGTATAGGAATGCAAGAGATTTCTGTGCACTAATTTTGTATCCTGCAACTTCACCAAATTCATTGATTAGCTCTAGTAGTTTTCTGGTAGCATCTTTAGGATTCTCTATGTATAGTATCATGTCATCTGCAAACAGTGACAGCTTTACTTCTTCTTTTCCAATTTGGATTCCTTTTATTTCCTTTTCTTCTCTGATTGCTGTGGCTAAAACTTCCAAAACTATGTTGAATAAGAGTGGTGAGAGTGGGCAACCTTGTCTTGTTCCTGACCTTAGTGGAAATGCTTTCAGTTTTTCGCCATTGAGGATGATGTTGGCTGTGGGCTTGTCATATACGGCCTTTATTATATTGAGGAAAGTTCCCTCTACACCTACTTTCTGCAGGGTTTTTATCATAAATGGGTGTTGAATTTTGTCAAAAGCTTTCTCTGCATCTATTGAGATGATCATATGGTTTTTCTCCTTCAATTTGTTAATATGGTTAATCACATTGATAGATTTGCGTATATTGAAGAATCCTTGCATTCCTGGAATAAACCCCACTTGATCATGGTGTATGATCCTTTTAATGTGCTGTTGGATTCTGTTTGCTAGTATTTTGTTGAGGATTTTTGCATCTATGTTCATCAGTGATATTGGCCTGTAGTTTTCTTTCTTTGTGACATATTTGTCTGGTTTTGGTATCAGGGTTATGGTGGTCTCGTAGAATGAGTTTGGGAGTGTTCCTCCCTCTGCTATATTTTGGAAGAGTTTGAGAAGGATAGGTGTTAGCTCTTCTCTAAATGTTTGATAGAGTTCGCCTGTGAAGACATCTGGTCCTGGGCTTTTGTTTGTTGGAAGATTTTTAATCACAGTCTCAATTTCAGTGCTTGTGATTGGTCTGTTTATATTTTCTTTTTGGTTCAGTCTCGGAAGGTTGTGCTTTTCTAAGAATTTGTCCATTTCTTCCAGGTTGTCCATTTTATTGGCATAGAGTTGCTTGTAGTAATCGCTCATGATCCTTTGTATTTCTGCAGTGTCAGTTGTTACTTCTCCTTTTTCATTTCTAATTCTATTGATTTGAGTCTTCTCCCTTTTTTTCTTGATGAGTCTGGCTAATGGTTTATCAATTTTGTTTATCTTCTCAAAGAACCAGCTTTTAGTTTTATTGATCTTTGCTATCGTTTCCTTCATTTCTTTTTCATTTACTTCTGATCTGATCTTTGATTTCTTTCCTTCTGCTAACCTTGGGGGCTTTTTTTCTCTTTCTCTAATTGCTTTAGGTGTAAGGTTAGGTTGTTTATTTGAGATGTTCCGTGTTTCTTGAGGTAGGATTGTAATGCTATAAACTTCCCTCTTACAACTGCTTTTGCTGCATCCCATCGGTTTTGGGTTGTCGTGTTTTCATTGTCATTTGTTTCTAGGTATTTTTTGATTTCCTCTTTGATTTCTTCAGTGATCTCTTGGTTATTAAGTAGTTTATTGTGTAGCCTCCATGTGTTTGTATTTTTTACAGATTTTTTCCTGTAATTGATATCTATTCTCATAGCATTGTGGTTGGAAGAGATATGTGATACAATTTCAATTTTCTTAAATTTACTAAGACTTGATTTGTGACCCAAGATATGATCTATCCTGGAGAATGTTCCATAAGCACTTGAGAAGAAAGTGTATTCTGTTGTTCCTGGATGGAATGTCCTATAAAATGTCCTATAAATGTCAATTAATTTCCTCCCATACACTTTTAATTATCCTTAGATTACTTATAATGCCTATATAATTATAGGCATTACTTATAATGCCTTATAATGCCTAATACAATGTAAATGCTATGTAAATAGTTGCCAGCATGCAGCCAATTCAAATTTTGCTTTGGGGCATTTTCCGGTATTTTTTTTTCTGAATATTTTCAATCTGCTGGTTGGTTGAATCTGCGGATGTGGAACCCACATGGAGGGTCAACTGTATTAGAAAAAGAAAGAAAGAGCAAATATGGGAAACTGATAAAAATTGGTGAATCCCAGTGAACGGTACATAGGAGTTCACTGGACTATTCTTGCACATTTTCTATAGATTTGAAATTTTTTGAAAATAAAAAGTTAAATAAATAAATTGGTCTATTTAAGAAAAGGTGTGGCCTGCAAACACAAATGACTTGGGTTTGAATCCCAGCTCTCTTATTTATCGTATAAGTTTGGGCAAATTGAGTAACTTCTTTGAGCCTCAATTTCCTCAACTGTACATGAACAATAATTACCTCAAAGTTTCCTAATGCAATGAAATAATACATATATAGTGCTAAGCATAGTGCTGAGAGCATATAAAATGCACAATAAATGCTAACTGCTATTATCATTATTAATATGGCCTTAATGATCAAAATTGAGCCCTCTGAAGCCACTGATGTAATCAGTCATGTATCCTTTCTTTATATGCAAAGGAGCACGTCTTGTACCTTTTCCCTTATCTGAAACTGTGTATACGTTTTCAGAATCCCAGGTGAGATTCTTGAGCAGACCAGGTCACCTGCTTCTAAGGTCTCCAATTACAGGGCTGCCTGCTTCCTGGGCTGTGGCATGCATCCCCGGCCACCCCCTGCAGGCCACATGGGCTGGGTCATGGCTGCTCCAGCAAACAGTCTCAAGAAACCCCAGAACTCACGCCCCATTTGTCACCCATACCCAGACTGGTTCTTACTGAACCGGGCGGGCTCCCAGGAACACTATGCTCGGCAACAGAAAAGCAATCTACCAGCAAGGCCCTGCTCCCTCCTCCACCCAACCCCTGCCTCCCCGTGTTTGTTTTAGCTGGATAAAAGTAACTCTGATTAACATCATCTATATGAACAACTTACCACTTATGTCTAATTACCATATGGCAAAATAATGATTATGCATATCATTAAACATGTGCCAGATTAATTGTGTTGTTCATTGTATTTGATTATGACAGCCATCTAGACTGTAATCAGGGTAGTTTCAGCTTCCATGACTATTTCAAGGTCATCCACTTAGAGTTTAAAAACAAGAGAATACTGCAGGGCAGCGATCGTGGAAAATAAGGTCTATTTCTAAAGCCGGTGGCAGTGTTTAGTAATAATAACAATAATTAATAATAATTATAATGGCAGCTACATTTATGCAGGGTCCACCAGGGGAAGCCTAATGATATTGCATCCTCACTACAGTCCCGTGAGGTAAGAATCACTTTCCCCGTTTCATAAGGGAAGGGACTGTGGGTGCTCATGTGTGTATAACAGTTAACAGAAAGAGTCTAAACTGAATGGAAGAGAGAAATGGTAAGACTGAGGCTCGCCCAGAAGCTGGCAGAGGAGGCTGTGTAAAGCAAGTCACAGCCAGTGAGTAAAGAGGAAGATGAAGGAAAGCTTTATCTCATCAATGAGTGTGTGAGGATGTGAGATTCAATATGAATACAAGGCAGCAACAACGTGATGCCTTAATAAGATAGACATACAAGGTCACACCCACTCACTCTGTAAAACACCCTGAATTCAGCAAATTCACAATTATGTGGAATTATTTCTATGTTTGGTAACAGAATCAATTTTCCCCACGCCTGTTTATTTTATATTATTTTAAATGTACAAGAAGTTCTGTTTTCTAAGAATATAAGATAATAATAATAAGCAGGTAATGTTGTTTGCTTACTTTAATAATTCTCTGCTGTCCACCACAGAAGACAATCAAAACTATATTGGAAAAACAAACAACTCAGCAGTTATTTCATGTAACGAAGAAAATAACAGAACTGTGGTAAACATGAGATATTTATGTAGAATCCAAGGATTCTAGTGGTCTCCCTCAAGTAAATACATTATGATATGACAACAGATTTTTCAGTAGAGGAAGAAGGTATCAGACTTGAGCTCAAATACAATACTAATTCTGCCCCTTATTGACAGTGTGAGCAGGGGTTAGAAACTTAACCACTCTGGACCTCAGTGCTCCATCTATAAGACGGTGATAGTAATTCCTGTCTCGAGGAATAGTGGAGAATTCAATGATAATAATGTGGGCAATGAAATTATTAGCATAATGCCAGGCATTTACTCAATAATGTTTTGTTATTATTATTACATACAAAATGGTGTATTTATAGATCTCAGTCATTTCAAACGAAAGTATTAAGATCAAATAAGTAAATGCAAAATTCTCAAAGGTTATGAAAGAAAAGTATGGCTCAATTGTAGCCTTTCAGAATGTTCTACTTACCCATAAATACAAGAAATGTCGATAACCACATCGATCATGTCACAGCAGAGCTCATAGGTTTGCATATCCACGGGGGTACTATCAGTTGCAATGTAAATCTTACTGACCACATCAAAGAGAAACGCCTTTTCAATTCCAGAATTCTGAAACAAGAAAGGAGATGCGGCCTTAAAGGGACAGCTGATTGCAGAGCATGTCATGGTTACATAAAATGATATGCCATCCTCAGTCTCAAATATGAACCAGCAAAAATTTAGGTTGTTCCATTTTATTACAATTTAAACCTCATTGTCATAAACTTCTTTATAATGGATTTGCACAAGAAATGAAAACTAGAATTATCACGAATTATTTACTTTAGGTAAACAAATTAAGTGGTGTTTCCTGACTCTTAGAAATGTACCTGCAGTTAGGAAAAAGGCCAAGTAAAAAAAAAAGCATTTTAAAAACTTTAAATTTAAAAATAGATTTTAAAAATCTAGACAAACAAACTCAAAATCGTGCAGTGAGAATCAATGTGAATACAACCAAAGGTCTGCCTTAATTCTATTTTGTGAAGTTTGACTTGATGTGGTGGTTTTTAGGACTCAGCCAGCCAGCACATCATTCACAGTGTTAAACATGTTTTTAAAAATTCAACAGTATATATCTTATAGCCAAAACCAACTTTTATGCTCCCAAACTCTGGTAGGATTCCATTAACATTGAATGATTGCCTACAACTTGAATAAACATTCCGATTATACAAGTGAGGTACAGGAATCGTTTTGGGAGTTAAATTTTAAAGGCCCTAAAACAGTACATAGGCGCAATCTTCAAAAATAATATTTCAGTGAACTTAAAGTGCTGTAAGAGCAAGTAGAAATAAGATCATTTTCACTCTTGCAATATTATTCTTAAATTCCGCAAGTGACTCTAACAGGACAGTATTATTTACTTACTGAGATAAAGATGTTTAGCAAATTCTCCAGGGTGGGGAGTTGTGGAATCAGTTTCTGAACCACTTTGCTAAAAGCTTCAAATATTGAATGATCATATATGCTTGTCAGATAAAAGCTGAAAGGTGAAACAATATTTCATCACTTTTTACCTTTGACTGAGGAACAGACTGTTCAGGCTATGTCATAACACCAGAATCATGCCTTCTGTATTTACTACACACACATTCTAGCCCCCTTCAGAATTCACAACAACCTCAGTAAAAAAATGAACATGTCTTAACAAGACATTCCTGCCCAACTCCCCAAAGCAAGAACTGTGCCCATTCTGATCTGCTGACTGGCTGGACTATAGGAGGCTTAAAAATGCAGCTGACGTGCTCGCTTCGGCAGCACATATACTAAAAATGCAGCCGTATATGCCTATATCAGCATCCTTACATTCTGCAAGAGAATCCACACCAGGTCATCTTTATACACACCTCTCATGTTCATAACAGTTATATTACTGATACTGAAGCATCTAATCTTTCCATTTTTCCAATTTGCGGAATGAATGATGCATATACATACTACCCCACAAAAATTAGAGAAATGGCTTTCCTCTGTGAATATTTCTATTTGAATTATTTTCAGAGTACTCCTTTACTTATGATTATAGATACTATCTATCACAGTAAACTTCAGCATCGATTAACTTCCTGGATGCAGTTCATGGGTTCTCTCCTATGTGTTTTTCAAAGGGGGAAAGACCTTAGCTTTGACCTTTGGTCCAAAAAATTTTTTTAAAACCCCACCGCTTTTCCCAAAGATAAGAGTTGGCACATGCAAAGCTTGCTTTTCCCAAATACTACCCCAATGTCTACAGCACAAAACAGGGTACACAGGGCTCTGTGACTCTAAATGACAGTCCGGGCCAAACCACTCCTGATGGCTCTGGACCCCAATGATCCCTGATGGGCTTCTGTTCTCACCTGAGGTGAATTTTTTCTAATCCAGCATCTGCAAGGTCATCATTTGCCCTCTGGTGAATATCTCTCTGGGTTTCAATTTTGTGATCATCTGACAGACCATCCACTTTGTGAATAAACACCTCGAAGTTGATGTCGGTGTTCACTTTGTAGGCCCTGGTCACCGTGAGGTGGAGCCTGGCCAGGGCCTCCATGTAATCGTCCTGGGAACAAAGCACACTCCTGTCAGGGAGGCTGCTTTGCTTCCCTTCCACATACAGTCTTCCCTCCCAGCTTTACTGAGGTATGACTGACAAACATTGCATGTATTAAGGTGACGACATAATGTTTTGGTACCATTGTGTACCCATCTGTACCCATTGTGAAAGGATCCCCCCAGTCAAGCTAATGAACCAATCCATCACCTTACAGGTACCAATTTTTCTCTTCCACGTACACTGTTAATCTTACAACCCCCTCCCAAAATATTTTGCAAATGCCCAAATAAAAGCTGTTTCATAGAATTCAAGACTGAAAACTTAAGTTTTGTTAACAAAGAAATGAAAAAGAAAGGCCAGAAAAATACAGTTATGATTTAGCTTGATGACAGTCACAAAGGTCAGAGTTGCAGTTTTATGTATTGAAAATGACCACACACCATCCAGGACCTTCCCTGGAATACTGTCCCTCCAGGATTCTGAGTCTCTTGGTGAAATGTAATGAACAAGCAGGGATGAAAACATGATAGGGATCACTGGGAAGATGGGGAAGGAGCCAGGAGGAAAAAATTTAAGAACCACTGATCTAGAGCAGAGGTCAGCAAACCATGGCCCTCAGGCCAAACTGGGCCCACCTATTGTTTGTAAGTAAAGTTTTATTGGACCACAGTCACACTCACTTGTTTACACACTGTCTATGGCTGCTTTGAGGGTACAGTGGCAGAGCTGAATGGTTTTCCTCTGTGGAAACTCCTCAGAGACAGCACAGCCTGCAAAGCCTAAAATAATTACCATCTGGCCCTTTTCAGAAAAAGTCTGCTGACCCCTGGTCTAGAGTAATTGCCCCAAATAACACGACACTATTGTTTTCTCCTTCCTACAGATGATACCTATGTAATAATGTAATGAATGCCTGTGTATGCATCTCTCTGTTTAAGAAATCAAACATTAGACACTGAAGCCTTGTATGTTTCTCCCCATCCTCCCAGCCCATCCCATCACTCTACCCACACCCTCCAGAGGTAACCACTATCCTGACTTGTGCCTGTATCATCACTTATGTCTTTATACATTACTGCATACATATGTATCACTAAACAACATACAGAATTCATTTACATTGTTTAAAACTCTACAGAAATACCAGCTTTGCATGTGGATTACAGTTTGCCTTCTTCACTCACATTATGTCAGTGAGTCACCTTTGTTGAAGCACATAACTCTAGTACATGATTCCTGTTAACAACTCTATAAAATTCCATCGTATGGATGGTCTAAAATTTATCACTCACTTGCCAGCTGATGAACATTCAGAATGTTTCCAGTTATGTGCTAGTTCAGATGATGATGATAATGTGCACAATCTCATGCACACATCTCTTTGCCCGTTTGCAAGTTTCTTAGGGCTTAGCCTGAAAGGAGGCTTGTTGGGTCATAGGAATGAGCACCTTGAACTTGACTCAATAATGTGTAAGAGCCCCTGATGCTCCAGACTCTCAACAACACCCAGTGTTGTCAGGTCTCTTCATTATTGCCAACTTGAAGGGTGTGAATAGGTCTTGTTTTTCCAGCAAAAAAAGGAAAGGGGGGAATTCCCTGGTGGTCCAGTGGTTAGGACTCTGGGGGCACTTTCACTGCCATGGGCCCGGGTTCAATCCCTGGGGGGAACTAAGATCCTGAAGAAAGGGATCTTCAGGACAGAATTTAAAGGACTTTTCACCACCCCCTGCCAATTCTGACTCCAAACCTGGACAAATACAGAAAAGCCAATAAAATAGGGGATGTGTTTAGGCATTCTTGTATTCCCCAAATTAAATTAATAAAAATGTATCCCTAGTTTTTAGATAAATCAAAATATTAAAGATACTAATAGGAAACTATGAAGAGAGACAAAGATCAAGCGGAGTCCTCATCCTTTGTACTCTAAAAATGAAAAACAAATATTGGACACTGGGATAGCAGAGCACTGGGAAGCATTTTGGAAAAATTCTAGATTAATAATTTGCAGCACTTTTTTAATACCTTACAATATCTCAAATAAAAACTAAAGTCCGCATACTGTACAATTCCACATACAGAAATTCTAGAAAAGGCGAACTACTCTATAGAAAAAGAAAGCACATCTCATCAGCAGTTGCCTGGGGCTGGGGTCTTGGGGGCCGTCTGAGAGAGGACACAAAGAAGATTTCAGGGTGGGGGAAACATTCTGTATCTTGATCGTGAGGTGGTTAGAGGTGTATTTGTCAAACTTGTTGAACTGTGTATTTAAAATGAGTGCAATTTATTGCATGTAAATCACACTTCAAAAAATGTTATTCCTTATGTCTTTAAGTGAAGAGAGGAGTTCAGGGCACATGTCTGTGAGCAAAGCTAGCCAGTCAAGAGTGTTATCACAGTCTCAAAAGATTAGCAATCACTCCTCTAACCTCCCTGCCAAGCATATAAAATGGTCTGATTACCAACAAACTGATGAAGTGCTACAGATCTACAAGGGCTAAAAATGACACGAAAAGAAAGAAAATACTTGATTTATTAGAGCAGAGGGATTGTGAGTGGTTTTTTTCCTACTGTGTTTGTTATTAGCTTCTACAACAAATTAAAAAAAGGAAAAATACGCTGCCTGGTTTCTATTCCACAATTAGATCTAGGAATTAGAGGCAGGTCACAATCACCAACGTGGGTCAAGCCGACACTCTAGTTTGGATCCCAGGCACACGTGAAATGGCTCCCGGGGGCCGAGGGTGGCCCTGGAGATGAGGTCCTTTCTGTGGGCCGTGCCAGGGGGCTGGCAGTGTCACACGGGGAGCTCACGGGAAATTACTCTTGATGCTTTCATTCTCTTTTATTTTACAACATTCTGTGAGGACACATTTTCTCCTTGGTGATATATTTATCTGGCAATCCTGTGATTGTGAGGAATTCGCAAGCAAAAAATAAAAAAAATATGAGGTGTCAGACGAACATAGCACTGCTTAGAAATGAAGGCAGTGACATTCAAGAATAGCCGAGGGCTTCTCTGGTGGCGCAGTGGTTGAGAGTCCGCCTGCCGATGCAGGGGACACGGGTTCGTGCCCCGGTCCGGGAGGATCCCACATGCCGCGGAACGGCTAGGCCCGTGAGCCATGGCCGCTGAGCCTGTGCGTCTGGAGCCTGTGCCTCGCCAATGGGAGAGGCCACAGCAGTGAGAGGCCCGCGTACTGCAAAAAAAAAAAAAAGAATAGCCGAGACACTTCCCTCAAGTTTGGTTTTGTTTAGTGCTTGCAGTCACATCGAGTAAAGATTCCCCCAAATGTGATTGCTATCAGCTGCTTCCAGTAGAAAAGCCTATTAGGCAAATTCTGGAAACTGCTTATTTAACTATTCCTTATTTTTAGTAAACGACAGCTCTCAACAATGTTTTTCTCTACCTTTTAAAAAGTGTAATTTAAAAAGAAGTATTTCTGGGCTTCCCTGGTGGCGCAGTGCTTGAGGGTCTGCCTGCCGATGCAGGAGACGCGGGTTCGTGCCCCATTTCGGGAAGATCCCACATGCCGCGGAGCGGCTGGGCCCGTGAGCCATGGCCGCTGAGCCTGCGCGTCCGGAGCCTGTGCTCCGCAAATGGGAGAGGCCACAACAGTGAGAGGCCCGCATAACGCAAGAAAAAAAAAAAAAAAAAAAAAAAAAAGAAGAAGTATTTCTCATTCTTATACCTTTGTCTGCCCTACGGCCAAAACAAAACCCAACAAATCAAGAACCAAACTAAAACAAAGAACACATTTACCAACCACAATCGAAGGTCCACTTTTCATGCTCAGGTAAAATTAAAACCAAATTACAGTTCCAATTTAAAAATAGGCAAAATAAAAAATAAAAATAGGCAAGTGTGGGAGGGAGGGGGATAAATTAGGAGTTTGGGATTAACATATACACACTACTATGTATAAACTAGATGACCAACGAGGACCTACTGTATAGCACAAGGAACTACACTCAATATTTGGTAATGACCTATAAGGGAAAGGAATCCGAAAAAGAATATAAATATATATATATATATATATATTATATATAATATATATATATATACATCTGAATCACTGTGCTGTACACCTGAAACTAACATGATATTGTAAATCAACTACACTTCAATAAAACAAACCAACCATAAAAAGGGGATCACTTGGAAGCAATAAAATTACCCCAAACAATGAAAAATAAACAGGCAAGTATGCCTATTTTAGCCATATTACAAACACCTGAGATAGAGGTGCACTGGAAATTCAAATTCCATAAATGTAAATGGCTATGTACGCACAATATTGTATTGAAGGAAGTACTTTCTAAGCCATTGTCTTGAAGAGATGAGTCAGGGTTGGAATCTACTTACCCAAGGGTAGGGCTACTACAGCTCCACAAGTTCACCATGCAGTCGCTTGGAACTAAAAGGCTGAGTTGAAAATTTCATTTTTATATTAAACAGGCACCTCATTCCATGAATGAATTTATGATACTCTCAGGCATGAGTAGTCTTGTCTGAGAATAGTTTTCCAAGAGTGGGCTCAGAACCATTATTACTAAGGGTCTTCACAGCCCTTCCTCCCTAACACCACTGGGCTCCTGAAGGGCTGGGAGTGCTTGGCCCTACCTGTCTGATTGTAGGTCCAGAGTTGCAGGGAAACGTTGAGACCTGAGCTTAGAGTTGGCTTAGGGCATTCC